CGGGCTCTGTGCTGACGGCTCGGAGCCTGGAGCCTGTTTCGGATCCTGTGTCGCCCTCTCTCTCTGCACCCGCAGAGCACTCTGTCTCTCTCTCTCTCAAAAATAAATACAAACGTTAAAAAAAATTATAAAAGTAAATGTCGATGGGCCATCTAGAAGAGCCCACGCAGACGGCGAAGCCCGCAGGACTGAACGGCGCTCACCCACGCTCTGTGGCGTTCCCGTGAACGGTGTGGCCCAGTCTCAGCGGCAAGTGACGGGGCGGCAGACGACAGACCTCTGGGCAATGGTGCCCCCTCACTGCACTCACAAGAGGAGATCTTCCAGATGCTGTAAGGAACCAGGAAACACCGGAGGTCTCTTGTGTAACTTAGGGGTTTCTCTAGAGAAGGCTGTGTGAGGCTAGTCGAAGACCCTGAACGCATAAAGTGAAGGATTAACAAAATCAGTTGTGTAACACTGGGCAAGTTTTGAGCGAGAAAAGGTACCATCAAGTTAAAAATCGAGTGTCGTCCTAGGAGAAAGATTTGACACGTAGTTACCAAGGGTCTGGTATCCAGAACATACACACACGTGCGCGCGCACACACACACACACATAGGGAGGGAGCTGCAGATCACCAGGTCGCCCAGGGATGCTGGCCCTCAGCCCTCAGCCAGGAAGTGCACCCTGGAGCCCTGGGGCCGGTGACGCCGTGGAAGCTGTGGGGCCAGGGCCTCCACCGCTGTGGGAAGGAACACCGTGCGGGCCGTGAAAGGCCCCTATGCGGAGGGAAAGGGCACACTGCAGAGCAAGCCCGTTCTGATCGCATTTCTGTATTGAAAGGAACACCTGGTGTGGGTGTAGATCGTGTATTTGCACATTTGTTCACCCCATTCACACAGAGCTTTGCACAAACTCGTGACCACAGTGCTGTATGTGCCTGATCTTAAGTGCCCTCCTCCCCCGTGCATCTCTTACCTCGGCTGCCCTCCTCACGGGGCAGGGACCTCCAGCCGCACCGTCCCGTTGCTGGACGGTGATGGCGTGTGCACGAGTGCTGCGTTGCGGGCTTGGCCCCAGGGCAGGGCCACGGCGTGCACCTGTTTGTGGTTTTTCGCCAGCGCCGGCTGCTTTAATCAAACCCGTTCCTGCGGTCACCGAGTGCGTCCGGTTCCGTTGTCCTTTTCGCCTGCGTTTCCTCCACTGCTTGGCAATGTGGACACCTTCCCAAAGTGCTTGCGCGTCTGGGTCAGATCTTCGGGAATCGTGTGGTTATATTCTTTGCTCCTTTGGAACCGGGGTCCTGTCGTTTGTGTCCGTCGATGTGAATCTCTGGCGGCTGTCAGTGGTGACACCTTCCCGTCCCTCCTGGCTTGTCTGTCACCTGCTGGCTGGTGTGCGGAAGCGCCTGCCGGCTGCCCCGTCCTCACCGGGACTCGCTGGGGCTTGGTCCTCGCCACGTGGTCCTGACCTGCCCTCCGTGAGTGAGAGAAACAGAGAACTGGTTTGGGGGCATCCTGTCCCAGCGGACACAGGAGACCACGGTTTCCAGTACAACATCGTCGGCCAGTGGGAGAGACGGTGAAAATTCCCTTTAAGAAGGGCATGATGGCTAAGGGTCACCCCCGCGTTTAAATGCGACTTGAAACTTGAGTTGTACCTTACAGGACCGGATAATTGATGCTGGCCCCAAAGGAAACTACTCCCGGTTCATGAATCACAGCTGCCAGCCCAACTGTGAGACCCTCAAGTGGACGGTGAACGGGGACACTCGCGTGGGCCTGTTTGCCGTGTGCGACATCCCCGCAGGTACGACATATCCGCGGGCTCCCCCGAGGCCGTGACGCCGGTGTGGACGTGAGCGAGCAGGAGTGTGTGTTGTGGGCCTGACGAACGCGTTTCCAGGGTGGCCGCGTGTCTCTTCTCCCCTAGGGACGGAGCTGACCTTTAACTACAACCTCGACTGTTTGGGTAACGAGAAGACAGTCTGTCGGTGTGGGGCCTCCAACTGCAGCGGGTTCCTTGGGGACAGACCAAAGGTAAGGTCACGGATGCCAGCCTTTCTGACGTCTGCGGACACGTCCGTCCCTTCTTCCGGGCTGGCGGGTAGCTTTGGCGGGCAGGAGGGGTCCCTGCGGGGTGTGGGCGGCAGGGCTCCGGGCTCCTATGGCTCACGCGGCCGGAAGTCTGCAGCCAGAGCGCCGTCCGGGCCTCGCTCTGTCCGGAGGCTCTGCTGGCTTCTGGCAGTTTCCAGCCGGCCTTGGCGTTCCTTGGCTGGTGGACGCGTTACTCCCGTCTCTGCCCTGATCTGCACAGGGCCTTCTCCCTGTCTCTGTGTCCCTTCCTCTCCTCGTGAGGATGCCAGTCATTCTGGATTAAGGGCCCGCCCTGCCCCAGTAGCACCTCATCCTAACGTATTACATCTGCATCAACACCGTTTCCAAGGAGCATCCCGTTCTGAGATTCCGGGCAGGTCATGAATTTGGGGCCCACTTACCTGCCTGCCTAGGCCCCCAAACACGGGGGGATCACGGGCATCTGGCCCGGAGTTGGGCTGTCCACGGGGGTCTGCCGCTTCAGCCGAGGGCATGATTTTGTTTCTCTCGCTCACAGTGCGGTTCTTACTGGAAAGAGCGAGGGGCGCATCCCGTGGGGGCGGGGCCGCTCCGGGCCCGTGCGTCCCGCCCACAGATCCGGGAGGCGCCGACAGCTGCTACTGCAGAGGCTCTTGGCAAAGCTGGTCCTCCTCGCTGTGCTCAGTGGTCACCCGTGGGGCAGAACAGGCGTGTGTGTGTGTGTGTGT